TATGGGTGTAATTAACACTGTGTGGGTTTGTACAGGAGGGGAGGTTCTTCTATTATTAGGGCATAGCTCATGGTATGGCAAGAATAGGAAGTAGTAGCTTCAGAATTGGTAAGGTTCCTAGGAGCAAATACTATCTGGCTCAGTTTTAAATTTTTGTGATTGTTAAATGATTCTGTTGATGAAATTCATAGACATCATTCCCGATGTGACATTTTTAGAATAAAATGTTTCTATAAGCACAATGAATGATGACAAATGAAGATTAGTGAATGCTTTGGAGATGCAAGCCGAAAGTTTGATACACATGATTTTCTCCTTCATAGGGAAATAACATAGAAAGTCCTTCTTAAGGAAAGAAAATAAAGATTACTAGCAAAGGGCTGTGAAAGCTCTTTGAAAATAATCTGAGACTGAGCAACTCTGGAAATGTGGATTTTAATTAAAAAATATACAAGAGCGTGTGTATAACAAACCCTGCACTATAAATGTATTAAATATTTATACAGCCTGAAGCAACTTTGGTGCTGTGTTGAAGCCTAGAGAATTGTAGTCAGGCTGTTTGGTTTGCTTCTCTGCTGGATATTTTTGAGCTGAAGGGTCTTAGACAAATATATGAATCTTTTTTCCTTTAGTTTCATCTATAAAATGGAAACAAAAAGTATTTATTGGGTTACTTTGAGGAATAAATATACAAGTTTTAAAAACTACCTAATGAGTTAAAAATGCTAGGTATGATTATTAGCTGCTATATTAGTCTTTGGCATATCGAATTTATAAAGTACAAATATCAATACTTTCATGTTCATTTCTATTTATAGTTCTGAATGTAAATAAAATAAAAAATAGGAGAAATTTTTTTGTTGAATTCACTCATTAAATTGGTTAATTGGCCATTCACCCAACATTCAAATGATGTACAAGTTTTAAAATACATTACAGTCCTTTTAATGTATAAAAATCCTTCAATTATTAGGTTAATTAATGAGGAAATACAATTTACTATTCAGTAGACTTTAAATTTTTTCTCAGTTTTTGTTTTCTTCTATCCTTTAAATTATGTATTGAAAGAGAAACAAAATAATTTTCCTTTTTGAATTGTTAAAAGAATTACAAAATGGATTAGTCCACAGGATAAAGACTTTTTTCCATCCTAAATCCATGATAGAGTATATTAAAATAAAGAAGAGTATCATTAAAATATATGCTTCTTTATTTTGCCTCTTATTGGATTAAAAGCTCTTTGGGTTCAGGGTTGCACTTATATATCTATACAACAATGCCATTATACAGATATTCAATAAATAGTTGCTGAAATAATAAGTAAATGATACATTTACCTAAATAGCATTGTAGTCTTTTGACTTTGGGTAGAAATACAAGAGTCACTGTCCTACAAAAATAATGGAGAAATATAGTACACAAAGTTTGCTTGGAAATTTGTCCTTCATTATTTTATAAGACATTATTTAATTTATAATACATAATAAAATTATCTTAGAAGACATCCATTTTTCATTCAAATGAAACTTTCTAAAAAGCCCTTTATTGTTAATATGTGGCTAAACACAGAATAAATACAATTTTTTTTCAAAGAGTAGCATCTGATAGAAAAAGAGACATATTCAAAGTCTCATATTTTGAATATTAACAATCTGTTTGTCTGTTAATTTAACAGTGTGTTTTTTTTTCGATTTTTTTTGGGGGGGGTACTGTGGATATGCCTCCAGCATACTAAATGCTCTCTTCAATAATGAGCTATACCTCTCTTCCCCAATACCTTAATTATATATATATAAAAAATCCAATACTGTTTTATGTCAATGATTCTTGCTAATAACTAATGAATGACTTAAAACACTTTGTGTTTTGTAAAAACTAATTCACTAAAGTAGAATTATGCTACTAATCATGCTACTAGTACTCAGTTTTTCAGTTAGAAAAGCAATAATTTCATAATAAATAAGTGACAGCTGCAGTCAGAATAAATGCTAACTTGAGGTAAAAGGCAAGATATAAAAGAACTGTAAAGTTTTATAAATTTTTGTCTGGCTGTCTTGACAGAGTGCAGGGCTCAATCTGGCTGCAGTCTGTTATGGAGGCCTCTCAGGGCCTATACATGTAGGCTTTCAGTTCAGTATTTTTAAAATTTTCTCTTTTTAAAAGAACCCCTTTTAATGTAAGAGATTATTTTACAGCCTTCCCCCAATAGTCTTATATGTTTTTTATGTATCGACAAAAAAAAAAAAACAAAAAAAAAACACATGCCAGAAAGCCACCATGAATTCAGAATCTATTTTAAAATGAAAACATTTTGCTAATCACAATAGATTCAATATACTTTTAAGAATAATATTATGTATGAATATTTAGTCTGTAGATTATATTTAGATTTACTCACAACTTAGAAAGAAATTCCATTAACTCTCAGATAGGGAACTGCTGATTTGGCCGATTTCTTAAAGTCATTTGTTAGTTGGAAAATTTTATATGGTTTATTTATTTTCTTCCTGAACTGTTCTATCCTCAAATATGTTTTGTGCCTTTAAGAGGAAATATGATTGTACTTCACAGTATGTATATGTATTTAAAAGGACGATTAATGAAAATTGTCCAATTATTAAAAAAAAAAAAGAAGACGACGACGAATACTATTTTGCGGAGGCAGTGGCAAATCCCTGATGTGTCATGGTGGAGTCATTCTCAAAAACTAAGGGCTAGAAAATTGAGTAAACATAGACCCAATAAAGAAAAGATTTCTTCACACCATGTAAAAATCAGCCTGTAGAAGAGCACATTGCTGTGGAAAATTTTGAGACAAGCTCAGGGATTTTTTTCACGATGATGATATCTTATGCTGGCAGGCATTGGCTACAAAGTGAAAAAATTCCTCCCTACATATCAATACCATAGAGTTGACTGTTGCCAACTGTTGTCACCATGACCCCATTCTCCTCATTGCACTCCCACCCCATCCTTTTGAACATAAGGTACAACACTATATTTGATGAAAGGAGGCATTAATCAGGACCCATGAAGTCTTGCCCGTCACTCCTTGCAAGTACCTGCAGGTGTCACTGTGCAGAATAAGGAAATGATCCCAGTTGACACCCAATTCTTTGGAATTCTGTTTTCATTCCTCAGGCACTAGAGCTTTTTATTTTATTTTTCAAGATCCAATAGGTAGGGGGGAAAAAAACAACACACTTTGTAACCAGCAATCCCTTTTCCTAATTCTAAATTACAAAACTTAGGGTTCTGATTAATGCTCCATAAAACTGTACCCCATTGCCAATATAATCTTCCGTGGCTGCATTTGTTCTTATATAAAAGAGTAATTAAGTGAGAAGTCATTTATACCTAGTTAGAAGACTTAGGGACCCTTACTGTTGTTTAGTTCACTTAACTCACAAATATTGATCACTCACCAAGAACCATCATCTTAAGAATCATTGTTTAGATACAGTAGTAAATACTGTTAAGGAACACTAACTTTGCTAGACACTGTACTAAGCACTTTCATTATTTCCTATGAGTTAGATACTATTATTATTCCTAGTTTACATGTGAGCAACCTGAGAGAGATCAAATAATAATTCAATGATTCACAGATACCCTAAATCTTAACCACTAAAAGATAGATGAAGTATTTGTTTCCAACAAGGGAGTTTCTGGGCATTAAAGGACCTTGGAGTCAGTGACAGAGAATAATAATAAATAATAATAATAATAATAATAATAATAATAATAAATTAAAAGTAGAAATAAGTAAGGAGTTAATAACATCCATTGATTCGGTTTTCTAGCCAAATATGTTTGCATATTGCTAAATTGACTATCTTTAGTCTCTTCAAATAACTATGATAAAAAGCAAGACAATTTATGTGTATGAACATATCTGAACACAGGACTTACACACAATAGAGGTTGTTTTTCACCAAAAGTGTAGTATCAGATCCAGAAATCTGTGAACTTGGGAAAGGTTAAACATTAAAAGCTGGAGATCAGATGAATGGAGATCCCTGTATATTCAGGCCCATTGAGAACCATGAAAATTTAACTAGATTTGACTAGTTCCCATAAAGGGCAGTCATTCCCCCAAAGTGTGACTCCATAAGCAAAAGCTGATGGGAATAAGCAAAGGCTTAGTGAGTTTTCCAGCCTGGTTGGGGTGGGACCATTTGTCAAATTTGGGAGAGCTGAGGTTGAGGACTGATGGGGTTCACCTTGTGTCAGGTCTTGTCCAAAAGGCAATCGAATTTTGTACAGAGAGTGACAGGATTGAGGAGATGTTTGGGATAAGTGAGTTCCAAAATAGCAGGCTGATAGAAGGTGAGTAGGGCAGAAAAAAAAAAAAATAACGTGGGGTTTTCTTCGTAATTAGGAGACGTTGAGGTGATAAATGCCTGAATCATGTTTGAAGCAGAGGAGATGAGAAGGAAGGGTAGCTGTGAAAGGCATTTCTGGGTGGTGGTGTGTTTGCATGGGAGGGGAGTGCTTGAGCTACTGACAAACTTCAAGTATGTTCATAAACAGGGAGTTATCTCTGCTGAAGTTAGTAAGACACACACACACACACACACACACACACACACACACACACACACGGCTCTCCAAAAGCATGTACTGGAAACACTAGCCCTGATTCAAGTTATGTCTGTCACCCACAGCAACCAAAGCCACCCACTACTCGGCAGGTGACCCCAGGAAGCAAACCAACTCATCTGGTTCATGCTCCCCACCTCCTCCTGCGGGAGTCGGAGTTCGAGGATGGAAAAGTTTGGGGAGTAGTCTCCGGCTACCCAGAGGACATTTTTTCATTCCTCAACCACTACTCTCAAGTGCTCCAGAGAGGGAGGATGACATCCGGAGAGTCCAGTGGTCACCACTCCTTCCCCGGGGGCCGAGATTATGAAACTCTGGGCACTTTTGAACCTCACCCCAATAGTAAGTGCTCCTGTCCGGAAGCACCTCCCCAGACTTATAAAGGTCGCAGCGCGTGGCGGTTGAGCTCACTTGCCTGAGAAGCTGGTGTCAGAGGGACACCGAGGACGCATAGACCCTTCAGGCTTTCAGCAGCACTCCAGCTACAGCGCGGCAGCGGATCGCTTCGGCTGGTCGGAGCGTCCCCAGCAGCCCTCTGCCGCCTGCCTCCCACCTCCTGCAGCCGGGGCGCCTGCGCTCAGCCGAGGCTAGCCGCAGGGAAGAGGATGGAGACGCGTCCCACGGGCCTGGTCCAGGCACTGCTGCTCTGCCTAGGTGAGCCTCGCCTCTTCCACCCCCCGCCCCCGAAGAAGAGACGGATACTGAGTCTGTGAACTTGTCACAAGACAAGTACCGAGTTGTCACTAGGCTAAAGCGAACTCCATTTAAACTGAGGCGGGTCTGTCGTTTCCACTGGCAAAGCTGGAGGTGGGGTGTGGGATCAATATTGAAAACGCTTTTCATTAATAAATTAATTATTAGCATATATGTTGTGCATAAATTGACATATTTTTATTAGGCAAAATTAAAAGTGGAAAAACTTTGTTTTTTTTTTCTTTTGAAATTTACCAGTTCTAGAAATCCAAAAGCTTAAAAAGCACCTTTGATATTTCGTGATTTTCTCTTCCTTGTTGGAAGGTGGCCTTTTGAGACTAGCCGCGCGCAACAAGAGACCATTTGAAAAGAAATGCTTTTCCTCCTCGATCTTGCACCCAGTTTTCTAAAATCTAGCCCGGTTTAGCATCCTGGGGGCGCTGAGGTGTGCCAATGGGAGCTTGACTGGAGCTCTAGACGTGACAGAATTAAAACGCTATCCACGGATACCTGGAATTGAAGGGCCTTGGGCAGGTCCTGGAGCTCCCCACCGCCCTTTGCCTCCTACACCTGCTGAGTTCGGGTTCCCCAGCAGCTGTCCCCGCCTCCACAGCTTCGTCAGGAGCTTTGCTCTTGGGGCTGATTGCACCCGGTAGTCTGTAATCACTGAAGGTATTTTAATGTCAGTCTTCCAATTTAAGACACCCCCCCCCCCACCCCCGCATCTCTTAACCCATGGGCAAGACAAGAAAAAAAAAATCTGAATGTTACATTCTGGTTTTCCCTGATTCCTTAAATTTTCAAGGGGAGTTTGGAGTTGCATATGAATATTTCAATAAGGAAGTAAAAGTTGCTAGTCTCACATTCTTCCTGGAATGGCAAGGAGGTGAATTTCCCTCACATACTAACTCTACCTTTGCAGAATGTGACAGTTAAATGATTATTTCGACAGGCAGGCCTTATCTCAGGTTTGAAAGACTTAATGAAATGCATGCTATGCATAGTTAGAATTTACACATCCAAGCTCAGGAACATAAGTGGAAACTGGATCTGTGGTTTCTGCCAAAACTGAGATAAGAACAACTTGGTAGAAGATTCTCAATAAATACTGTGGCTTTGCTGTCTTTGCTTAGAATCTGTGAAGAAGAATAAAATTAGAAAGACAACAGTCTTCCTAGAGTTAGAAATTAACATAGAGGTCAGAATGGCTCTATACCTTTTTTTTTCCCTCCACCTGTAAATTGCATCTGAACAATGCAAGTGTCTGTTCTAGGTATCTCATTGAATATTCTAATTTAAGACAGCAAGAGCCTATGAATAACCTTGGTACTACCCAACCAGCGTGTGTTGTGTGTTTTTGTTGTCATGAAAGTGCTTAACTCCTTTATTGCATTACTTAATTATAGTTCACCTATTTCATCAGCTGCCAAACCCATTTCCAAATGAGCTAGGTTAGTTTCTGTTTTCCCAGTTTGTTTAGATTTTTCTCTGCCACTAGGAAAGTTCCTGTTTGAAGTTCTATATCAAATCTTTATATTCTATTCAGGTATGCAGATCTTATAGTTTTAGTCCTTTTTTATATGGAATAAAAGGCAAAGGCAATTCTAAAATTGCCTTCCTCCAAAAAAAAAAAAAAAAAAAAAAGACTGCCTAGAAATATTTTTCCCAAACTCTCTTCTTCAAAAGAAAGAGATTTTTATTTTAGATCTCTTCATACATTCTATTATTTTTGTCTTATATGTATTTATGATTATGGAAAAATTCTATCCTCCATCTTCAATACATGTGGGTTTAAATTGTTACACATACACACAATTATTTTGATTACTTATAAATTTTTGAAATGTTTCCTATTTATGTTTTATAGATTGGGAAATTGATCCTAATTTTTCATATAAATGATGTTAAACAACTGAGGGATTTTGTGCCTTGGTTTACTGGCACTTTTAGTCTACTGAACATTTTGAAAAAGCATGGAAATACCTCAAAATGAATAATATTTTTTTCTGAATAATCTATGTTTTCCAGCTGCATTATCCTTTCTAATTTTGTGATTGTTACAAAAGGAAAAAAAAAAGAGGAGAAATTTTTATCTTGAATTCTGTAGTTATATTGAGGGACTCTTCATCTAAAAATAAAACATTTTCATTCATGTTCAAACAGGTTTCTGAGCATGTTTCTGAATGGTATCTCCTTGACAGTTTAGTACAGCTTCACACAGTAAGAGAGCATTAAGCAAAGCAAACATTCTTTCTAAAAAAAATAAGAGAAGCTGAAATCTCAGTGAGACATTTGGCTTGCTTTCCAGTCCTCTCTGTTGACCCTGAGAATTTATGAGCTGCCTGAGTCTTGACACCACCTGAGATGACACATCTGGGCAGAAAACACAATGACAGGCCTCTCCTGTCTGGATTTTGACCCCATTTGCCCTCTGCATGGTCTTACCATATTAGCAGCTAGGGTAATTGGAGTGTCTGGTTCCCCACTGGAATGCAAATCCAGGAGTGGGGAAGGGAACTGAAAATTACTAAATGCCTACTATCTGCCACACATAAGTATTAGATGTGTTGCATACATCACCTCATTTATTCTTTACACAGTAGGTGTAGTTAGCTCACTTTTGACAAATATAGAAACAAAGACTACTTTACAAGGATTTGGAGTAAATTGCAAGGTCATTCTTGAAAAATGTATAAGGAGCCATTGGGTTAGTGGGAGCATAATCAAAATAAGAAGTTCTGATAGAGAAGTTCCAGAGGCATTTAGGGCCACCCCAAGACTTGGAACCTGTTCTAGGGACAGCATATATACAAAAATGGGCTTCCTGACCCTATTCAAAATGAGATACCAAAGACAATATGAGCATTCTCTCAACTTGTACTCAGAAATGTTGACTTTTTAGTGTTCATAATTTTTATCAATATAGCTCTTGGATATGATTTTTATTAAAAGCAGTAACTGAATTCAGTTAACTAAGGCCTTTATTTCTATATTTTCCAAGCTATATTATGTAAGGCAATCAAGGAAAAGGATATCTTATATTGTTTGTATACCTTGTCTGTTTTATATAATTACGAATTAAATAAGTATCAATAAAAGGACCATGTTGGAATCTACAGCCCATTCCTACTAATTGTGAGAAAATAGATATATTTCCTTTTTAAAAAATTCAATACTCATATAGTCACTTTGAAAAAAAATTTAAGTGTTTTCTGCTCATCCTCCCATTTTTTTGCATAAGAATCTCCCATTTCCTGACAAGAGATGCAAATGTCAAGTAATAAATCCTTTTTAGAGAGACTATAAATTAAGATATTGTTTCCGTCTTAACTCTGAATATAGGCCTATGCAAATTATCTATTGATATGGCCATAACTGCTGTTGGGAATATTCCATTGGAAGACAATGGGAAGGTTCCCCAAAGCTGCAATAGGGGAGATCCTCAGGGAGGAGTAGCTTGACAGCCATCACTTTGGTATGCTAATTCTGGAACCTTTGAAAAAATGAGGTAATGCAACAGACTCAGTATCCGCTGGCAGTGCAGTTTATGTAAGACTGGGTGTCTAGTTGCAGAACAGATAAAGGTTCAATGGCATTCTAGGTTAAAGTAATGATTTAATTAACTAGCATACTATTTAAGTTAGTTATTCATAACGAATTGATTCTTGTCCAGGAAAAAAAAAATATGTTAGCCTTGTCAGAGCACAGTGTGAGTCTATATCTAAACAAGCTTAGTGACAGCATAAAAAACAAAAACTGAACACAAAAACCAGACTCTATTAAACATCAGTATAACCTGTTTGTCAGACGGATGATTAGATTTATTCTATATTCAGAGTTCTCACCACTATTTCTTGACTGAACCAGCTGTTCTTTGCAAATGTACATGAGAAGGAAAATATTTCAAGATTAAGCAGTAGTTTTGAAAACTCAATTCTGTTGCTTCTTAGTCTAATAATTTTTCTTCCCTTTTCTCCATATTTCTATTGGTTCTTATAGACTCTATTCAGTGATGTTATGCCTACCAAAATTCAAGTGTATAAAAGTGTGTGTGTGTGTGTGTGTGTGTGTGTATGAGAGAGAGAGAGAGAGAGAGAGAGAGAGAGAGAGAGAGAGAATGAAAGAGAGATTACTGAACAGTGATATGACTGAAGGATGGATATAGCCAGTAGAAGAAAGAGAAAGGGAATTTAGAGTAATCTAATTCAAATTCCATCTCTCTCCATACCATCTCACTCTCTGGTTTGTTTTTAGAGGTAAAGAAACTCAGTTGAAGGAGAATAAATAAGTATCTGAGCTAGAACTAGATTCCACATCTCTTGACACTAATTAAGGTGTTTTTGACTTTGATTGTATTGACATGACCTGGACAATTCTTTGCTGTGGGGGTCTGTCCTGTGCATTGCAGGTGTTGAGTAGCAACCCTGTTTTTTACCCACTAGATGTCAGTAGTTCCCCCCAGTTTTGACAACCACAACCATCTCCAGAGGTGGTCAAGCATTCCTGGTTGGTAAAATAGCTCCAGGTTGAGAACTACTAATCCAATGTATTTTTTTTTAATAGTCATAATCATTGACACCCATGGTTCACAGTTTGAATAATTAGCCCTTAAGTTATGAAGACAAATAAAATTAATAGTAAGTTGGATACAAATACAAATCAAATTCTACTTTTTTAAAAAAATCCTGCTTTGGGGTCTGGGGAAGTAGCTTAGTGGTTGAACACTTGCCTTGCATGAGTGAAGTCTTGATTCAATCACCAGCATCACAAAAACAAACAAGAAAATCGGTTTAGCAATTTTTATTGCTGATTTTAGAACCATTTGCATCTAATAAGGATGACTCTTCTTTATGATGGGGTCATTAATGCAGTCATTGCCTTGCTGACTTCCTCATGTTTCCTGTTACAATTCTACTCCCTTGACTCTCATAACACTGAAATTTCTTTTTTTTTCTGAGATT